TAAATATTATTGATAAAATCCAAAGAATAATTTGCAATGTTATTGGTCCTGATCTGGCATCTCGTCTTCAGTCACTTTCCCATCGCTTTAACTTAGCTTCGCCGTGCCTTTTCTATAAATATTTTCATGGTAATTGTTTCACTAGACTAATTCAAGCACAGTACTAGATTGGTAGCAAGGTCTTATCAATTTCAATTGAATTGGCTATATGTAATTGCAAGATCTATGCTAACATTTTCTTCTCTCGCTTGAGAAATTCCCTTCCAGCTACCTGCTTTTTCGCCAACTTTCATTATCAAAAATTTAAATGCAATGTCAATCGTTATCTACTGTCTTCTTGATTCCTCTTCTTTTTATTGTTCTCGCTCTGAATGTGTTTCTTATTCGTTCACACTCAATATCCACTTGTGTCTTAGTGGATTTACTGTCTCGCTTGGGGTGAAATGATTTCAAAAATATTCAATAACTTGTGGCAGGGGGAAAACTCACGGGGGTCGTTCGCGGGGTGCAGCCTCAAACTTTCCTTCCACCGGTGAGATCCCGCGGCTTGAACTAGTCACGATTTAGGTCGTCGAGTTTAGGTGCCGTGCGCGGGCGCATCACCCCCGGGTCGGTAATTTTTCTCCGAGTACGACTCGGCCGACTTCAGTTGGGTTTCCCGGATAAAAGGCTCAAATCGATATTGCCTTTTCGGATAGGCTCTCAATGTAAATCAGAGGTTTGTCTCGCTTCTAAGGATAATAACATGTCTTCATAAACCGGCTAAAATTTCCAGTGGGTTTCATAAGACTATCACCGGGCGTATGATTTTTATGGTGGCGATAATGAACAATATAGGGACTCGAAAGAAACTAGCTTTGATTTTTTTTCATGGAATCGTGTGGGCGTTGATGACACCGGTTTGAAAATATTACTACCTTGCGTGCATTTGCTGAATTGTACGAGGAAAAGCTAGTTACGAATCGATGATACTTATGGTAAAGACAATCGCCTAATAACCACACGCTTCCTGTTCGGATGAAAATAAATAAACGTTAACTAGCGAAGCAAGCGAGCAGATTAACATCCGAGCCGTCATATATCCTGACTAACTGCAGTGAAGAGGCTTGGCAGAAAAAGATAATTCCCGGCGATTATGTTTTTCCATGCCATCCGATATTTCACCAATATATGGGATTGCAAAGGAACAACTTTGGATCATTCTGGGAAATCACTTTGATAATATTGTCGGAGGAAAACGATGGTTGCGTGATAATAAAGATACTAAAAGTATCACCCAGCCAGAATTCCAGTTTATGTAGAGACGCCAACAGACTCTCAATTTTCGTTGCAAAAGAGTCCCAAACGGTGCATTTCAGTCAGTTATTTAACACTTCTGCTGGTGTCGATGTAATTATATGTTCATTCAAAAATTATGTTGTTTGCTATATATAAATATATATATATATATATTATAAATTAACTGATTTTGATTTAAAATATTGTTTCTTCGCTACACAGTAATAACGATGTTTCAAAAACTGAAGCTAAAAACTTCAAATTTAATTATATAATTAAATATAAAAGCATTAGTTCTGTTTCATCTTCAAGCGAATTTTTTGAAACATGATTATTACTGTGTAGCGAAGAAACCATCTTTGCAATCAGTTAATTTATAATATTTATGCTCTGTAAATTTACATTGAGCACTGTTTTGTAAAAATAAAAAATATCAATAAGAACACAGGATTATATATGTTACTGTTCTTTCTTTATATATATATATATATATATATATATATATATATATCATGTATCTTTCGATACATGACTGACGAGGCAGATTTTTTTTCCCGCAGTAGATTGCCATTTCTTTCTGCGGAAAACCAATTGCCATCCAAGGCTATAGAACCCGGTCTGTCCTCCTATTTCATGTGCCATGCGTGATACACGCTTAGGCGATTATTTATCTTTCGATACATGACTGACGAGGCAGATTTTTCCCGCATTAGGCTGGGATTTCTTTCTGCGGTAGATCAGTTGTCATCCAAGGCTATAGAACCCGGTCTGTCCTTCTATTTTATGTGCCCTGCGTGATACACGCTTAGGCGATCATGTATCTTTCGATGCATCACTGACGAGACAGATTTTTTCCTGCAGTAAGTTGCCATTTCTTTCTGCGGTAGACAAGTTGCCATCCAAGTCTATAAAACCCGGTCTTCCCTGCTATTTACCCATAGCTGGGGTGGGAGGAGAAGAATATGATTCATACCTTTCCCAAGAGTATTAGCTCGTAAGTGAGTGTAATGGTTTCGACTGTAATTCGAACACGGCTTTCCGATTCCTCAATCTTAGCCGCTATCCATTACTCCACCGTGCCTCCTTGCATATATCGATCTTCCAATATGGCAATGAATAAAAATATGACTTGGCATAGATGAAAAGAAGACTTGAGATAACAGGCACGTGCTTCAATAAGAGGGTGCTGAGACTATCATAGACGGTATAGGTGAGAAATTAGAAAGTTTTAATGGAAAAAGGAGCACTTATACTTAAATTCAGAAAGCGTTAAAATTTCTAGAACACATACCAAGTGGAATTCGAACTCAGCTCTCCGATTCCTCAATCCGAGCCGCTATCCAAATTACTCAGTCGTAATTGATCTAGAAAGACAATCTTGCTCACCATTAATCCATCTCGAAGCGCACTCGGTATAGATTAATATTAGTGTAAAATACAGGCCGTTTTGTGAAACGGTGAGTACTGAACTCACTATGCAATAGTAATTGATCTAGCGAGAACAGCTTTCTCACCATTATACCACGTCGAGGCGCCCAAAATGCTTTTCTAAGCGCAGCTTAGATGTGACACTAGGTCGAAAGTATGGAGCACCCAGTTAGGATGGAACTCACTACTCAGTCGTAATTGATCTTTCGAGACATGCTTGTTAACCATGACACCACGCCGAAGTGACCTCGGTGTAAATATATATTAGTGTAAAATATAATTTTTTTTTGAATATTTAGGCGATTTTCTATGCATAGCTTAGATGTGGCACATGGCCGAACGTATGGAGCACCCAGTGAGGAATAAGCCCAGTATTCAGTGGTAATTGTTCTAGATAGAAAAGCTTGTTCACCATTACACCACATCGAGTTGCTCAAATTGATTTTCTAAGCATAGTTTAGATGTAACACTAGGTCGAAAATTATGGAGCACCCAGTGAGGATCGAACTCATTACACTGTCGTAATTGGTATATAGTAATAAGAGAATTCTTTTTTATTGGTAGATTTTATCAGTAAAAAAGAATTCTCTTATTACTATATTTGTACAAAAACGCACGACCATAAAATTTAAAATTCAAACTCAGCGTTGCGACCGCACGTTCCAAAACAATAATACATTTCTCATAGCCTTTTTTCGGATTATATATCTATTTTCGTTGTCCTCTTATTACTGAGAAGTAAAAACAAGAACAAAATCTACTTCTATACCTGATGATGTCTGTAGGAACAGACGAAAGCTTGTAAAAAGACCTTATGCAACTGGAATTTATAAACAGGGATCATGTCATTCATATACAGGTTCGGGGTTGATGTATCTTATTTATATTGTTTGCGATGATGTATTCTCGCCATTTAAATCATTAACCTCTATATTTGTTTTTTGTATGAATGATTCATGAATTTATAAATTATAACTGCACCTTTAATTGAAATTAATATATATATATATATATATATATATATATATATATATATATATATATATATATATATAGTGCAAAATACAAGCTGTTTTGTGAGTTATTTAGAGTACATAGTATTAGGGGGTGTTGTTTAGGTTGGTTTGTGCTGCATATTAGCCGATCGAACCAAAAATGGTGGTGGCTATGAGAAATCACCGTTGGCGTCTTCATAGTCATTGATTCAAGAAAACGGAAATTTTCTATTTTCTCAAATTGGGCCTCTACAGCCAGGCAGCAGTGTTATAATAATGCAGCTGTGAAAGTGTTAATTATTATTGAATATTGTATATTTAAACTGGAACTCATATAAAAACTATTCTTTACTGCTACAGAAAAACAAAAGAAAAAAGACACAAAAAAAACCAAACAAAAACAATACAATTTGTCATTCTTTAGGCCGAGAATAAAATTATTTAAATTTTTCAGGGAGAACAACTTTTTATCATTGCAATGAAAACAATACAATAGAGAAACCAACTGAATAATTGATTAGTTTTTATGGCTTATATTGTATTCTAGGGAGGGTTATTTAATGAGGAATAACCAAAACGGAGGTTGGAAATGAAATGGTAATCTTTATAACGTCAACAAAATACATTAATCGCCAGCGTCGTGAAGTAGGTAAACCACTGCTAGTGATGGACTACATAGACAACATATTACCCCCACTTACAATAGTGTCCAATGTATTTATGAGTATAGAGACATACACATTAATGTTCATAGGTACGGTATATAAGTCTTTATCTATCTATCTATCTATCTATCTATCTATCTATCTATCTATCTATCTATCTATCTATCTCATTCTGTTCCTATCTATCTATCTCATTCTGTTCCTATCTATCTATCTATCTATCTATCTATCTATTGTAATCTAGGAAGGGTTACTGAATGGGGAATAACCAAAACGGTAGTGGGAAATGAAATGGTAATCTTTATAACACCAACAAAATACAATACTCGCCAGCGGCGTGAAGTAGGTAAACCACTGCTAATGGTGGACTACTTAGACAGCATCTTACCCCCCACTTACAATAGTGTCCAATGAGGATTGGGGGGTACCTATTAGTGTTCATAGGTACAGTATATAACACAACTACTGTTAGGTTATTTCACATCTAATAAACCCATTCTTGGGGCGGATAGGTGAATTATACCTTTCACAAGGGTATTTCAGAAGTGAACTAAGGAATCTACCTGGAATTGGAACTCATCTCTCTGATTAACAATCCCGAGTCGCTATCCATTAGACCACCGGCACATCCAAGCTTACAGCACCTGGTATTCCCAAGCGGTCAGTTATCTAGGTGCGAACCCCGTCCGATGTTGCTTACCTTGGGTGATCGTAGGGAAACCTGTGTTTCAACATGATATGGCCGCAAGCCCTCTAGATATGCAAGCAACGTCGAGGTGCCTATTTAGTTTGGTTGTTTTATGACATGTCAACCTGTTGTAACCTGAATGAGGAATAACCAAAACGGAGGTTAGAAATGAAATGATAATCTTTATAACACCAACAAAATACAATACTCGCCAGCGTTGGGAAGTAGGTAAACCACTGCTAGTGGTGGACTACTTGGATAGCATATACAATAGTGTCCGACGTATCTATGAGGATTAGGATATACCCATTAGTGTCCATAGGTACGGTATATAGCAGCCTATCAACCTTCTGCAGGTTGTTTAAAGCCAGAAAATATTTTTAGATTGTAAGAAACTTTTGGAGATAATAATGATTTACTAATACAAGTCCTACTAATTAATCCATAGCTGGGGGAGAAGAGGTTGATTCATGCCTTTCCCAACGGTATTTGCGCGTAAGTAAATATAATGAGCCCGACTGGAATTTGAACTCGGCTCTCCAATTCTAAGTTGTTATCCATTAAACTGTCCGCACATCCGAGCTTGCAGCACCTGCTATTCCCAAGCGGTCACTCATTCAGGTACTGAGCAGGCACGATGTTGCTTAACTTTCGTGCGAGAAGCGGTGTTTCAACGTGATATTGCCGTAAGCTTAGGGAAATCACGACCAAGGGACAAGAAAAATATAATTCCCATAAATAGATAAATCGAAAAGAAAAGAAAAAAAAAGATATATCCCGAAAGATGATAGAGTTAGACCAATAATACAGTGTAACCCGGATATAAGAGACCCGGATATAAGAGAAACCCGGATATAAGAGAGATTTTCTCTGGTCCCAAATTAGAGCCCATACTTACCTAAACAAAATAGACCAAACCCGGATATAAGAGAAACCCGGATATAAGAAAATCCTTATCCGGTCCCGACAACTCTCTTATATCTGGGTGACACTGTAGATTATTTCCAGATTTATCCTGGATATACCCAATCCTCACTTTCCAGCCTTGACAGAATTCAACATCGTTTACACGATCTTGTGACAGACAAAATGCTGCAAACCTGCCAATATTCTATCGCTATTTCCATGGCAAATGTTTAGATGAGCTCCCTTTTTTTAGTTGCACCAGGTCATACCTTTACAGCTAGGACAACGCTATCCTATTATCACAGAATCGAATCATCCTCGGTCCCCTCGTGTTCCACATATAAGAAGGAAGTTCCACTCAGACAGATAATTTACATTATATATAATTATATTTATATTCGGCTTACATATAGGATTTGTCATATCACGTTTAAACGCAGTTTCGGGTACGATCACCGAAGATAGTCAACATCAATCCTGGTCAGTACCTAGATGGGGGGGGGGTCCGCTTGAGAATAGCGGCGGTTGCAAACTAGAATATTCATGTGGGGTAATGGATAACAGCTCGGAATTGGAAATTGGAGACTTGAGTTCCAATCCCAGTCGGGTTTGTTATATTCACTTACAGGCAAATACCATTGGGAAAGGTATGAACCCACCTCTTCTCTCCCCAGCTATGGGTTAATTAGTCGCACTTGTGCTAGGGAATCATTATTATCTTCAAAATATTTTTACATAAAATATTTTGCTGGCTTTAAATAACCTGCAAAAAACAAATCAAACAATGTAATGTTATGTAATATATAGGCACGGTGGAGTAATGGATAGCGGCTAAGATTGAGGAATCAGAGAGCCGAGTTCCAATTCCAGTCGAATCCATTACATTCGCTTACGTGCTAATACTCTTGGGAAAGATATGAATCCTCTTCTTCTCTCCCTCCCACCACCTATGGGTAAATAGCAGGACAAACTGGGTTCTGTAACCTTGGATAGCAACTAGTCTACCGCCGAAAGAATTGGCAGCCTACTGCGGGAAAAAATCTGCCTCGTCAGTCATGTATCGAAAGATACATAATCGCCTAAGCGTGTATCACACATGACATAACTGGCTGAATTTATATTTTATAATATATAATTATATATATTTGATCAATTCTAATAATTATAATTGTGTTAACAGCGGTGTTACAGAATGCGAATGCCGGGGCCAGTATGGTCAGCTATTGGTCAGAATACCCCGTGGGCGTGCTATTTTGGCAGTGATGGATTGCCTTTGTCTGGGTTTTGGGTATATTTCCAAATCGGCTCGAATTCAACAGAGGCCGCAAGTCTTTTGAAGGGTAGATACGCTTCCCACACCCATGTTGCAGAGACAGGCTAAAACCACACGCAGAGAGAAGATAAGTCAACGTTCCCTTGAAATGATTCCTTCCGCTGCCTCTTGGAATTCCAGCTGCCACGTCGGTTCTTCTCTGATAAAAAGCGTCTTTTCGTTAATACCATCTACGCGGTAGCGTTGGTATACAGAGACGACACGGAACACAACAGTGGCTAATGTCGCCAGATGATTATCACGTTAGTCTTAAAGACTTCTTGAACAGTTTAATGAATATCAAAACATTTCTTTTAAAAGCAACGTTCAAAGCTCAGTAACATCGGTATGGTGGTTTTATTACTTCTTTGAACTATTCAGTAAATTTAGTTTAACTTCAATTAAACTCGCCAAATAACAAATAACGGCACCAGTTGGAAATCTCTAACATTCGCAACTAAAATGGAAAAAAAATAGAGAAAATAATAATATAATTAAACTGTTTAATTTTGTTGAAGAAGCAGACATGGTTAAACGAAATTGAAAAGATTCTCAATAACAATAGGAGGAAAAAGAAGAACGGGGCAAAATAATACGAAACAAGAAATGTAATGCATGACAAAGCAAAGCAACTATAAGACAGTAACAGAGTAAAAAGTTCATAAAATAGAAATAGTGTTCATATGCAAAAAGAATACTGTCAAGTAGATATAGTCTTTTTACTTAAAGGCAAGAAAGAAAAATGTGTGGATAAGACCGGAAATTGAAAGTTGTTTTCTTTTACTAAGACGAAATCCCATCATGCATCTGTATAATATGTCTGTAAATTTGAGAAGTGGAGACTTTTAGCCTTGGAACTAACAACTTTTCACACTACCAAAAACAAAAGATTATAAGGAGATTCCTATCACTATTAGAAAGTGCTATATAATATTTACTGGATGCACGATGTCCAATATCCGGAAATAATGTTTTAAGAAAAAAGATTTGTAAATTTCAAGGTACAGTAACACGAACTGTTCGGTCAAAGAATGTGAAATGTTTCCTGTAGGGAAATGGCTAATTTTAATATTATAATTACCATTTATCTCCTCCAGAGAAACTCTAAATCAAACTTATCATCATCATCATCATCAGACCAATGACCTGCTGTGGTTGTAGTGTCGCTGCGCAACCGTGTACCTGAACAGCTCACTCCACATACTGAAAGCTGGAGAGTTATTCAGTCAAGCGTAGGATGTCTTGGGCAAGTAGACCTGGCGGAACTCATCCATCTTGAAGGCTCGACTTGGTCACGGACATGATCTTGTTCAGTCTCTCGAGGAAAATCCTCAACCCTGACCGTTGACTTCGTTCATTAATTGCTCTTACTAACTAATCAATTAACGGTAAATTTCAAGATTAGCACGATCACCATCATGTTACGTTTCCGTTGCATTCCATTCACGTTGGCTGCATTTCATTCGTTTTAGTAGAACCGTTTTTCTTAAAGGTCGATCTGCCTTGAGGGTCATTCTTCGGTCCAGTGACCTTTCTCGGCCAAGCGGGGTCTTGTATCGGGAATTAGTGGAAGGGATCGCGAAGGATACCCTATGCGACCGGTTCGGTTTGTCGGCGACCAAGTTTCTGGTTTTGGGCGCCAGCGGCGGATTATCTCATCAACATTGAGGCGATTAGTTCGGAATAGGCTACATCTCAATGACGGATTTGACTGTCATCAATGTGACCTTGACTTAGAAATGGCTTCGCACGCCTTCTACCATTGTCCTCGCCCCCTCAGGGACAATATCGGCGAGTTGACGGCTCGTATCACTCCCAAAATTTCTTATTCATTGATGGCGCTATACACATATGACAACGTATCGCCCTACCCTTGGATTCTGGGATGAAACAGATGGTGTTTCTGACACTGCTGGCCACGGCTAGAATGGTGGTCTGGACGACGAGGATAGAGGAAATCTTGCGATGTGATCGCTATTTCATCAAGTTATAATCAGATACTTTGAGAATCAGATGAAGATGAAGATTAGAACTGATAAAAAGTGGTTGGTATTGACAGATTTCAGCGAAATGTGGGTAACTATGGCGAGCCTGGTCCGCGTGAACGTGGCTAGCCTTAATTTTCTTTTTAAGTCATATCCGGGGCGGTTTCCTGTGGAGCCATCCCTTAGTTAACATTGACTCTTATTGTGTCCCTGATCATGGTTAAGATAGACTCTTCTTCTAGTTCATGTGAGTAAGTGCCCGGCTTCTTCCTACGATCCAATTCGAGATTCCTAACCTCCCCAGTTTGTTTTGGCCTGCGCATTTCATCTCGATTGGGTCAATTTTTGGAATTTTCTAATTCCTATATTTTTTTTTATCCTTCCTCTTGTGACCAAGTAAATGGTTAAAGAAATAACAAAACAAGTGTTCCAGATATATCATATATTAAACAGTAAGTACAACAGAAGAGTATTACACAACTAGTGAGTGTGTATCAGTTGACCAGCATTCAATCTATTCGACTGTTATATTTACCAGCCTCCCCACGAGGCATGATGTGGTACAAAGCCGAGTTTAATGTGGGGCTATCCGAGCCCGTAGGCTCGGCCAAAAATTGCCCACAGACCACGTATAAAACGAGGTCGGCTAGCTGTTTCCCGAGACGAGATTCTTCCCTTCGACATGGCCTCGTCTGGGGATCCTCTCTACCCGGAGGCAGAGAGTTTGACCAGCACAGCTGGAACAGATCTGTTCGACTGTTATATTTAACAGCTCCTCGCCCCACGAGGGATGTATGTGGCACAAGTCCGAGTTTACCGTGGGTTCTCCGAGCCCGTAGGCTCGGCGAAAATTATTCCCTTAGGACCCGTATAAACGGGTTCTAGGTCTGTCTACCATTCTGGACGAAACTTTGCCCTTCGGCAAAGCCTTGTCCGGGTTCTTCTCTGCTCAAGGAAGAAAGTTCGTCAGTTGAACAATCTGGTCGACTATTATATTTAACAGCTCCCGCCACCACGATGGATGTATGTGGCACAAAACCGAGTTTATCGTGGGTTCTCCGAGCCTGTAGGCTCGGCAAAAAATATTCCCTTAGAACCCGCATAAACTGGTTCATGGCCAGTCTACCTCCCCGGACGAAACTTTACCCTTCTTCAAAGCCTCGTCCGGGTTCCTCTCTGCTGAAGGCAGATAGTTCGACAGAAATGAACATTCTGGTCGACCGTTCCCCCAAGGCCTTCTCTCTTACTAATCTTATAGTAGGCGGAAGAGTCCAACAAGGACTCTTTAGATGGAGGACACCACAACACTTCCACCTTCCTAAAGAGAGTGCCTCTTGATTTTGTCGGAAGACAGAATACAGCGGCAACTGTAATTTTGAGGGTTGGTCGGATCTTACTAACATCTTTCTTTTTTCAATTTGTTTTCGGTGTGATTATCCTCTATCATTTCATAACATTGATAGAACTTTTATACAATCGTGCATATT